TGTGTGGACCCTGTACCCGCAGTGTGAACACCCTGTACCCGGGTGTGCAGACCTTGTACCCGCACAGTGTGGACCGTGTACCCGCAGTGTGAACACCCTGTACCCGGGTGTGCAGACCCTGTACCCGCACAGTGTGGTCACTGTACCCACAGTGTGAACACCCTGTACCTGTGGTGAGCACACCCTGTACTCGCGGTGTGTATACCCTGTACCCAGGTGTGTGTGGGCCATGTACCCGGGTGTGTGTATACCCTGTACCCAGATGTGTGTATACTCTGTACCTGGGTGTGTGTATACCCTGTACCCCAGTGTGTGTATGCCCCGTACCCTGGTGTGTGTATGCCCTGTACCCGGGTGTGTGTATGCCCTGTACCCGGGTGTGTGTGGTCCCTATATCCGGGTGTGTGTGGGCCATGTACCCGGGTGTGTGTATACCCTGTACCCAGGTGTGTGTATAGCCTGTACCCAGGTGTATGTGGGCCATGTACCCAGGTGTGTGTATACTCTGTACCTGGGTGTGTGTATACCCAGTACCCCAAGGTGTGTATACCCTGTACCCCGGTGTGTGTATGCCCTGTACCCAGGTGTGTGTGGTCTCTATACCCGGGTGTGTGGACCCTGTACCCGTGGTGTATACAATCTGTACCCGGGTGTGTGTGGGCCATGTACCCGGGTGTGTGTATACCCTGTTCCCGGGTGTGTACCCAGGACTGTGTGCCTGCTCCCTGCCTCCTGTTACCTGGGTCTCTGAGAGGCTGAGGCAGCTGGCGAGTTGCTTCCTCTCGGCTCCGACGACATAGTGATTCTTCTCGAAGGCTCTCTCTAGCCGGAGCAGTTGGGACGGGGAGAAGGCGGTGCGGATGCGCTTGGGTTTCCGGGCGAAAGGGCCGTGCAGTAACATGGTATCATGGGCAGAGTCAGTCCCTGTGGGTGTGAGAGAGACAGACAGAGTGAGCGACAGAGAGAGTTGGGGGGTGGGGGCCAGGCCGAGGTGCTGTCTAACCCCAACAATCCCAAAGAATTCCCGGACTGATCTCCTCCTTCCAGGGGCAAAACAACAGCCGAAACGGAACCTAGCAGCTCACTTCAGATTAGTTTGTGAACTTGTTTTGTTTCATTTCAGTATGTCATTGATCTTCGAAGATAATAAGGTGTAGAGCTGGATGAACACAGCAGGCCAAGCAGCATCAGAGGAGCAGGAAGG